CGTGGCATGTCCCTGTGTCTCTCTGCCTCTCCTCACGTGGCATGTCCCTGTGTCTCTCTGCCTCTCCTCACGTGGCATGTCCCTGTGTCTCTGGCCTCTCGCCTCCACCGAGGACCCCATTCCTGGGTGTAGGGCCTCCCCACTCCAGGATGACTTTGTTGGAACTTGATCAGCTGCGGAGACCCAGTTCCCCAGTGAAGACCTATTCATAGCTTCCGGATGAACATGAGTGTAGGAATATGATTCATCCCATTCTCTGCTGAGGGCGGGTTGGTGGGGTGGCCAGCATACATTTCTGTGAGCTCCAAGTGCTGACATCCTATCACAAGACCCGGCTGGGCAGAAGCCAGAAGCCCACCAGAGGTTCCTCCCTGGCGAGAGGTAGCCCCTGGGAGGCACTCCTGCACAATTGTTTTCTGCGCTTGTTTTGCAGGTTCCCAGCCCCATGGGGGGCAGTGACGAGGGGGAAGGAGACACCGACTGAGAGGCCCTGGAGGCTGCCCCTCCAGGACCAGGATGCCTGCCTGACCCTCACAGTGGGGGCAAGGATCTGGGCCACGTGCTCCAGACACATCTGCACTGCCGGCCCACTCTGACACTCAGGGTCCCAGCGTGCCACAGCACTCTGACTCTTGACTCCAGCGCCACCCACCTCTACATAGCGCCTTTGCCGAGTGCCCACCTCTGCAGGAGAGGCCCTATTTTTTTAGAGACGATTTTCTTATTAAAATATGAATTTTATGAACGTGATCCTCCATTGCCAACTCTTCTGCTCAGAAGCTCCCCACACCTGCATGGTAGACGGGGGTGTGGGTGATGGTACGTCCTGAGTACATGACGTCTGGCTGCCTGGGGAGCACGCTGACTACCGAGGACAAGGGAGGTGGCTGTGGCTGAGGCCCGGGCTCTGCCAGCAGGTGGGCCGGCAGGTGGGTGGCTATTGGCTCCGATGAGCAGTCTCAGTCCAAGGGTGGTGCCTGCCCGTGGACAGGCCTGCGCAGCACACACAAGGGGAAACCACCTACAGAGTTGGGGACAGGAAACCCAGGAGGTGGATGCCTCCCTCCTCTCAGTCTGCTTAGTGTTGTGGTTTCTTAAAACAGTTTTATGGGCATTTAATCCACATGTCACACAATTCAGTATTTCAACTGTGACCAGAAGAGTTGTATAATCCTTCCTACAATCAGTTTTAGAAAATTGCCCCCCCAGCTCATGAGTAAATCACTTTTAAATTGTGTGTGTAATCATGAGTTCTAGAGAGTGCTCTCTCCCCTCCCACATACATTGTTAGCTCCCTCCCCTATAAACCCCCTACATCCATTCTTAGCTCTGTGCCCTGACTCCTCCTGTGCTTCGCCAACTGGAAAACCTAACAGAAAAAGGTCAAGTAAGGATAAAATAATACAGAGATAAAAATACAATTAGTGGGTAAGGAAGAAAAGACCACTTCATTCAGAGGCCAGGGGAGAGATTTTGGTCATGGAGCAGGCAAGCAATGCCCAGAAGAATCTCGGGATCTGCCAGCGGCTTAATCGGGCTATGGACTCTGCACATGGGTTTTGGGCTCCCACTGTCCTCCATGGCCTTCTCCAAATTGGGTCTTCGCAATTTAGAGTCTGATACTTTTCCCTTTGTCATATTTGAATTTTGTTATTGTTGTCTTCGGATCACACAAGCTGGTATGCTTCTTTCCATGTGGACTTAGTTGAGTCTTCCCTTAGATGGCTGCTTGTTTGCATATAAGCCTTTGAGACCCCAGATACAAAGCCAGTTGATAGCTGGGAAGCATCTGCTTTCTTTACCACATATGACGGAAACACCCTTATCATCAGTGATCATTGCACGAAGGTGGCTTTCAAGCAGGGTCAGGTTATTGGAACTAACTGTTCTTGGTTTTGGGCTGGAGTTCAGTAGAGGCCCGTAATCCATCTCCTTGCCCCTGGGATATGTATGACTGGTTTATTTTGGTGGCATATTATGACAAATTCAAAACCTCCTAAGACCAACCACTCCCACAACAGCAACAAACGAACTCACAGAGAAGGAGACAAACAAAACAAACTAAAGGCAGGGAAACACAAACCCCTTCAACACAGCAGAGTACCTCATTGTCAGCCATCCCCCTGGGGTATAAGGTGTTGCACTTGTAACATCCGTTTTCTAAGGACCTCACCGTGGACACTGTCGGTGTGAGGAGTCCCTGTGCAAGTACATCGCACCAGGAACCGCACCCGCCGAGCTATTGCTTCTTAAGTTCCATCTCCCATCCAGTTGGGCTGTTTCCCCGCAGCATGGGGGTTGGTGCCAGGGGAAAGTCCCTGGAAGGGTTCTTCCAAGTTCACACCCCTACCCAACAGATCAAAACCTAGCACATCACTGCTGGGGGTGGGCACGGAGGCAGTGGGACATTGAGGTGCTAGAGATATGGTGTTCTGGGTCCCTTTCCACTGGGAACCCACCAATCCAGGGGTTCACCACAAGGTCTAATGACCGCCACTTCCACAAGTCCAGGGCGGCCACTCTGTTTCCATTGCTATTGGCAGACCCCAGTTTAAGGGTGCAGGCACTTTTGAGGCTTGAGTTAGTTCCCTGTCACAACATGGCGGGACCTTAGGTGGGAATGGTGAAGGGTTGTGTCCTTTAGACTTGCCCACTTGAACAAGCATTCTTAGATGGTCATTTTCCTGTCCCCCCACCTTTCGCCTCAGCACCACCTCCTGCTTATGGGAGCCGAGGACTACTTTTCTCTCAGCGAGGCACAAATCAACATTCTATTAGCAAGGGAAGGCGGGAGGGAGGGGCAGACAGGGCTGAGGGGTCGTGAGCTGGAACAGCTGGGATGGGATGTGTAAGACGGGTGTGCACAGCAGGAAGGGGCACATCTTTTCAAGTGGCTGACTGAGGAGAGTAGACGGGAGACCTTTGGTAGGACCAAGGGAGGGAAGCTATGTGGGGCATTTGTACGTGAGAGGCCACTGGTCAAAGCAGCCGAGGGAGGGAGGTTATGTTTTGAGTGTAGAAACCCCACTGGGGGGCATAATTGGGCAGGGTAAGAAGATTGGACTAGACATTTGCTCTGGGCCTTGACGAGCTGGGTGGGTAGTCTACAGGAATGTCCGGGGAGCTTGGTTTTAAGTCTGTTGATTTTACTTGTGATGCCCAAAGTACCCTAAAAATGGCGGGGGTTGCAGGGTGCCCCCTGCGAAAGCTCCGTGTACCACACAGGTCTCTCTTTGTTGCTAACAAGGTAAATGCTTCTCTCTACTAAGTCCTTTATCCCCTCTAACTGCCATATGTACACCCATTTCATTCCTTTGAAAGCTCTCAGCATGTTCAATGTCAGCACAGGTCTTTGTACCTGCATTTTGCCAAGGGGTCAAGTTCTTAACTTCCTATATATGAAGGGTTTTTTTCATATTTGAAGATTTTATTTTTCATTTTCATAAATCATCTTATTGGGGGCTCTTACAGCTCCTATAACAATCCATACATCAATTGTATCAAGCACGTTTGTACATATGTTGCCATCATCATGTTCAAAATATTTCTGTTTGAGCCCTTGGTATCAGCTCCTCTTTTTTCCCTCCCCCACCCTCCCACCCTCATCGGTCCCTGATAAATGATAAATGGTTCTTATTCTCATATCTTACACAGCCCCCTATCTCCCTTCACCCATGTTACTGTTGTTTGTCCCCCTGGGGAGGGGGGTGGATATTACATGTTGGTCATTGTAGTCCATTCCCTGTTTCTCCCCCTTCTCCCCCCACCTTGCCCCTACCCTCATGGTATCGCTACTCCCGTTGCTGTGCCTGAGGGATTTATCTGTCCTGGATTCTGTGTGTCGAGAGCTCTTATCTGTACCAGTGAACATGTTCCGGTCTAGCTGGATTTGTAAGGTAGATCTGGGGCCATGGGGTGGGAGGAGCGTTAAAAGAACTAGAGGAATGTTGTGTGTTCTGTCAGTGCTGTGCTGCACCCTGTCTCGTTCTTTTATTGTGACCCTTCTGTGAGGGGATGTCCAATTATCCACAGATGGCCTTTGGATCTCCACTCTGACCCCTATAATTTTCATTTCTTAGCCTATATTTTGTTGTTTTATTAATAACTTTTTGGTGAAATACCATTCATCTACCATAACATTCATCTTCGATAGCAGTGGTTCGCAACCTTCCTAATGCTGTGACTTTGACCCTTTCAAAAAGCTCCTCATGTTGTGGTGACCCCCAACCATAAAATTGTTTTTGTTGCGACTTCATAGCTGTCATTTTGCTACTGTGATGCGACTCCTGTGAAAAGGTCGTGCAAGCCCCAAAGGGGTCATGACCCACAGGTTGAGAACCAATGTTTTCCAGCATTCAATTTAGTGGTTTTCAGTAGCTGGAGCTTCAAAAGGTTTCTAGAGAACCGGAATTAAGTAAATGGTAATGGCATTTCCCAACAACTTTTTGAAGCCCCCTCGTGTTTCCAAGTTGTGGATTTATCACCACCAATTGCAGAAATTCTCACTAGTCTGAAACAAAATCCTATACTTTGTTGCTCCCTACTTCTTTTCCCTTACCCCCCACTTTCTGGCAACCAGGAATCTGCTTGCTGTTCTGCAGGCTTGCTGCCTGTCATGGGCTTCAGATAAATGGAGTCAAGTAATCTGCCATCTCTGTGGCTGGCCTCTCACTCAGCATCGTGCTTTTGAGATCCATTCAGATTGCAGCATATATCAGAACGTCACTCCTGCTTATGACTAAGTAGAGCTCCACTCGGAGCCCTCCTGGCGCCATGGCTACGAGCTCAGTTTCAAACGGAAAAGTCAGCGTGGTCAGAACCCATCCAGGGGCTTTGTGGGAGAAAAGTCTGGTCATTTGCTTCCATATATATGGCAGCCGGAAAACCATCGGGGAAGTACAACTGTGCCACATGAGGTCATTATGAGTCAGAATCAACTCGACGGCACCTAACAAAACTCCCCCGAGAGGATGGACCACGTCTATTAGTATTCAATACACATGCTCTGTTTACCAGGTAGACTTCCTTGGTAAGTGTGCATGTCTGTGTTGCAGCATCAGTGTGTGTGCTGGTTTGACATCTTGCCAGAAGCCAAGTTTACCCATATTTTGAGTTGATGGATATTTGGGTTTTCCAAGTTTTTGGTTATGAACGCTGCTACGAACATTCATGTACATGTTTTATTTTAAGTTTTAAAATTGTGGATTAGATAGGCATTTATATTTCAGATCATCTATTTTATATTCAATAACTTCAACTATAAACTCCCAATAACTATTTGTCATTTCACAGTGGTAGAACATTTTTGCATGAGCTTATTTGTGTTTGTTTGTTTGTTACAAATATCTTGGCTCCTATTTTTTGCTGTTTGAAATTTCCTCTGGAATACCAAACATATACCTTCATCACACTTATCTGAGCCTGAACTCTGAACTGCCCCAGTTTTCCTCTGGCATAGTGGCTCCACGCTTGGGGCCTTGTTATGGTGAGGGTCATTGAGTCAGTGCTGACTCATAGTCTCAACGTACAACAAAATCCTGTCTGGTTCTCTGTTCTCCTCACAATCATTGCTACGCATGAGCCCATTTTTGGCAGGTGCTATGTCAGTCCACCTCACTGAGAGTCTTCCTCATTTTTTCTGACCTTCTATGTTACCAAGCATGATGTCCCTCCTGAAAGCATGGCCAAAGGACATACGATGAACTCTGGCCACCCCTGCTTCCAGGGAGTATTCTTTTTTTTTTTTTTAA